TATCAGTTAAAAAGAGCTCTTCAGTAGCTTTCAAACGACACCAGCACTTCTGGAAAACAGGCCATGGAAGTCTGGCATTTTAGCCGACTTTGGAGCTCTATTTTCAGTTAAAATGATGCCTCAGCTGCTGCTACGGAGCTCATTATGTTTCAATCCATCATTTCCCCCTGGGTCAGAGACATTGTTTATTCAATCAATTTATTTATTTATTTATTTATTTAATTATTTTGAAGATATGGTGAACCTGTAATACATTTTGTTTACAATATTAAAGCTCTGTTCATATCAATTTTTAATTTATTTAGTTTTATACAAACAAAAAATGAACATTATTTTTGCATTGTTTATGATTCAGAAATAAAAATTAAATCTTTTCAAATTTTCCAAATTTTTGGATAAGAAAATTGAATAAGAATTTGTAGTTTGGGACACAGAATGGGAATAATGATGGTATTTATTTAGCCTTTGTAGTGAATACAGAGTCTGTTTTAAACCTTACTGAAACATTAGTCATTTCAGTGATTGTTCCAAACTTTAAGATGGCAGCAGGATGGAGAAAAGGAGGAGCCACATCTATGATTAACTTATCAAAGCTCTTACCTGATTGGCTAGTGGGCGGGGCTTCTAACAGGGTGGCATGAACCACCCACATTAAGCAAAGGAAGAGGAGAATGGAGATGAACATTCTGAAAAAGAGAGAGAGAAGCATTAGAGGAACAGGGTTCATTGAGATATGGATGATTTAATAACAGAGACAGGGGTGTGTGTGTGTGTGTGTGTGTGTGTGTGTGTGTGTGTGTGTGCGCGCCAGACAGTAATGGAAGATCCAATGAGAGGATTAGAGCGATGGGTCCCCTGTGCCACCATGGCAGCATCCATCATTCTCTCTCTCTCTCTCTCACACACACACACACACACACACACACACACACACACACACACACACACACACAAAAACTCTCTCACATGGAGGTGGTCAGTGAGTAAAGGATGTAGTGATAGAGAAAGTGATGATGGAGGGAATGAGAAAGTAAGGAAATGATACAAGGAGTAACAGTGAAGGGAATGAAAATGAGGAAGTGAGGATGGAGAGAGTGAGCGGAGATGAAAGCAGGATGTGAAGGACACACACACACACACACACACAAACAAAATCCTCCATAATGGTGCGCTTTAATTTAATTGAAAAGCATTATGGGAAATCTGGAATGCCAATTATGCAAAAGCTACAAGGACACTTAATTGATTCAAGTCAGACTTAAAGCACTTAGAGGCCTCTTGTTTGTGGCAGCACACACACACACACACACACACACACACACTACACTGATTAATCAAATTCTGTGTTTGATCAATAAGCTGCTCAATCTGAGAGGCAATTACAGTGTGTACTAAACACACACACACACACACCACAACTGTAAACACACACAACACTCATCAAACCCAGTATTTAAGGAACAGAGAATCCATTCAAGATATTTTTATATTATGAATGCTGTAAGTATTAATTATATTAAATTAACAGGGTTGTTTTTTTTTTTTTTGGAAACATGGTGGTGGTAGCTTTACATTTAAATACTTTAAAGTGGAGACATCACTGTTTTCTGCCCCCCTGATTTCTTACACACTGAAAATGACGTAGTCATGCTTATAACCTACATACATTTATTTTAAAATATGCAAATTAAAATCAAGTGTTAAACAATTTGTTTGAATTAGTGCTGTTTAAATTGTCTGGGTCTTAACTTCATTTAAACAGGTTACCAGATATATGCACTGATTTCCCTTTGATGTAGCGGCCTTTTACTTTTAAAAAAGATTTTTTTAAAATATAAAAATGAATTTTAATAATTATTATATACTTAAATGTATAAATAGACTTGCATAAGTATTCATTTAAATAATTATACATTTACATATAAATATATTTAGATGAATCAAATTATTTATACAAATTTTTTCTTTGTTACGTACCAAATTTTCAGAATTTGACCGACATTTGTCTGGTTCGATTAATCTCGAGTTTTGTAGCCGACGAATCAGCAGGTGCAGAACCTGGCTCCGCACTGTGTGGTGTGCTGATGTAGGAAAATAATCAACGACAGCGTGGTGAGTTGTGATGCGACCCGACTACCTCGAAGTTGATTATTTTCCAATAACAGCACGTCTCGAAGTGCGTTATTCCTCTTATACCACAGCGATCTGCCATCGATTACAATTTCTAATTTGTTTATGAACGACACATCATACTTTTTTTTTTTTTATCCATTTATAGTTACATTTAACGACTCTCAAAACAAAAACAGGCGATAAAATACGCAGCTTATCAAGAGCAAACTTCTGTGTCCTGAAGAATTCCTGACGCTGACACTGGAGACTCCTTCCACAAATTTTCAACAAACTAAATTTTAAAATCTCAGTCTGGAAAACTTCATCATATCAACGAGTATGTAGTTTAATTTGTTAAATAACAACACCTTTAATGAAATACTAATGCGCGCGCGCGCACACACACACACACTCACACCACTTGACAACGGAAATGACAGGTTGTGCAATCTCTCTTATAAAAGTAGCTCCAACCTCAGTGTTTTCTCTCTCTCTCTCTCTTCCTACAGAGGTGTTCATTACAATCTCTCTCTCTCTCTCTCTCTCTCTCTCTCTCTCTCTCTGTTCATTATAATTAGCGTTAATAAATTAATTACCATTTATCATTTGCATTAATTAAGTGCTCATTTCGCCGCACACGTGATCAAACTCAGCACCATAAACCGCATCATTATTTATAACAAACAGCACGCGACTTAAAAAATAAATGAGAGAGAGCGAGCGAGCTGCTTACGCACGCACGTGCGCGAACACGCACAGCGCGTGCCGGAGTGTTCAGTGCAGCGCGTCTTACCGGATAACACGCTCCATTCGCGAGCTCGCGCGTTTCGGTTCCGTGTCACGCGTATCCAGTCTGGTCCTGGCTCCTTCGGCTCAGTCGGAGTGGTGAACGGAAATGTAGCGCCCTTATCGTCAGGCTCCTCCTACGGAAAACCCCGTGCTGCGAGAGACTGCAATTCCCACAATGCCCTGCAACACGGAAGCCGCACTAGACCCTACGTCAACGTGTCCGCCATGTTGGAAAGGGGTTCATTCCATATGACCTCAATGCAAGTCCACACAGAGAAGCACACCTGGGGAAAAAAATTGAATAGTCACATACCTGATCATACCTTAAGTTTAGCTCATATACCTTTCTACATATCACAGGTGATAAAAAAATAAATAAATAAAGCATTGTCTGTATCTTCATGGAATTTCGTATAATTCCTGGAAACTGCCAGAGAAGCAGTGGTATGCAGGATAAATATATCATTTGGAAATCAACATGAAACAAAACAAGAATTTTGGTATTAAACTAACATTTGTAAAGTTTCAGTTACATAAAATTCCTTGCTTAAAGGGATAGTTCAGCCAAAAATAAAAATTGTGTCATTAATTACGCCCCCTCGTGTCGTTCCAAACCCATAAGACTTTCGTTCATCTTCGGAACACAAATGAAGATATTTTTAATAAAACCTGGGAGATTTTTGTCTCTCCACTGACAGTCCATGTAACCAAAAAGTTCATAAAGGCATCGTAAAAGTAATCCACGTGACTCCAGTGGTTTAATCCCAGTCTCATGAAGCGATACGAATGCTTTGTGTGCGCGGAATAACTAAAATTAAGACTTTGTTCACAAAATATGTTGTTCTGCATCGATCTCCATGCGTTCACGAGAGAACCACGACGCATGTGTGTCGTGTTGACGCACGAGCTGCACTGTTTACAGCAGAGGAAGTTTCTCAAGGTTCTGGCTTCCAGGAAATGCAACGTCAACTTAAAGTGTGACAAACGACACTTGCATGCATACAGCGTTCCTCTTCCTCTGCCGTAAACAGTGCAGCGCTTCCGGGTCCAGTCGTGTCACGAGAACGTCAGCGCATGCGTCGTGGTTCTCTCGCGAACGCACGTTGGAGATCTATGCGGAAGATGACATTTTGTGAATAATATAATAATTTTAGTTATTTTGCGCAAACAGATCGTTCGAATCGCTTCATAAAATTGGGATTAAACCAGTGGAGTCGTATGGATTGCTTTTACGATGCCTTGGACTGTCAGTGGAGGGACAGAAATCTCCCAGGTTTCATTAAAAATATCTTCATTTGTGTTCCGAAAATGAACAAAAGCCTTATGGGTTGACAGAATTTTCATTTTTGGGTGAACTAACCCTTTAAAGGTCTGGATAAGCAGCTAGCATGACTAAATGGCCTGTTAATGTTTAACCATTATGAATTAGTCGATGGCTAAAAATAAGACAGTGTGAAGTGGTTATGTTCTTTCATTCATTCATTCATTCATCCATTCATTGGTAAGTGTTTGCGGTGGATCTGGATCCTGGGAACACTTGATGCCCTGCACTGGACACCAGTCCATCACAGGGCCTTTATGTTTTTTTTTAATGGACAAACATTTTATTAAGTAAAGAAATGTAAATTGCAGTAACAGTTGGGATCTTTATCTGGTGGAGTATCAATGGTCAACTGTTTTCATGCTCTTTAAAAAATAAGCTGCATTTATTTTAAAAAATGAAGCATTTGTTTCAGTTGATCACTGACACAACCCGTGTCCACCATGATGACGTGTCCACCATGATGAAAGGGTTTTGGTAGGTACCGAGTGGGAAGCTTGGTAAGCAAGGCCCACTCATAACTAAATTTACTTCTAGGTCAGGAAAATTCAATCATAACTCTTTATTTATCCAATTTATCATAACTCTTATATAACACTAAGCAGCATGACATCACCAAGTTCCCAGTTGCTCTGCGTACAGCAATTATTTTTGGGCCTAAATTCAAGGCTGAGTGGCAACTCAACACCCACAACGCAATCATTAAATGTTGCTGATTAAATAATAGACGTCAGAATTAGGCATTCGTTTTCAGAGGAGTATTAATGTACACAGGTGGGCCCTGGAGGACTAGTGGTTAGGTCTCAGCGCTCTCACCTCTGCAGCCCGGGTTCGATTCCTGGCCAGAGAACCAGCCCCAGTTCGCTCTCAGTGCCGGTCCCAAGCCTGGATAAAATTAGGGAGGGTTGCGTCAGGAAGGGCGTAAAAACTGAGTAAAATCAAATATGCGGACCAATGATCCACTGTGGCGACCCCTAACAGGAGCACACACACACACACAGATTCGTTCATTCATCTTCAGAAACCACTTTATCCTGGTCAGGGTCATGGTGGATCTGGAGCCTATCCCGGGAATACTGTGGCGTCTGTGAAGCCCAGTGATGGATATCCCTGACGCCACACCCCAGAAGGCAGTAAGTCACAAATATGCACAGACCAATATAGATCTAAAGGTATCCCACGCAGAGATCAGCCACACACGCATACTTTACCCAGGTCCTAGCTGTGATTTACTGTAAGCAAATCAGACCTAAGTCAGCAGTTGTGTGTGTGTGTGTGTGTGTGTGTTAGAGTAATGGCTGAGTGTGATTGCAGGCCTCTATTTCATCACTAACACTGTCATGCTGTTCCTCTTCCCACACATACTCTCGCACACACACACACACACACACACACACAAAGCTGTGATGTTAACAGCTTCTGTCAGGAGTTTTTATAGCAGATGTGCTGCTGTCGAATGCAGTCTCTCTAATTTCCTGCTCAACTGTCTTTCCGTCTCTCTCTGTATAACTTTCTCTCCTCTCCTGTTGCTTTGGTAGTAATAACAGATCGGATGAGATGTTAATGTACTTACTGAACATGTGTTATAATTAAGTAAATGAATGTAAAGGTGACATTAAGTGGTTAATGTTAGCTAGATAATCTGTGTCTAAATGATGCTATTTTCAGCTACTGCAATTATGGTATGATACTCCTGCTAAAATAAGATTCAATTTCAGTGGGAAGACGTGAGGCAATGAGGCACTGAGGCACATGGGCAAACAGGACTCTTACATTAGAATGCTGTTCATCAACTTCAGCTCAGCATTCAACATCGCCATACTAAAGCCCCAGAAAGCCATCATCCCATTCCACCACCATGAACACCGGAACCACTCCAGGTTGTACACACTGCTTACAAACATCACAGCAAACACATTATCAACTTTTCTGACAACACCTCCATTATGGGCCTCATCACCAACAGCAATGACACGGCTTGCTTGAGGTCTGGTGCAAGGACGACAATCTCTCCCTTAATGTCAGCAAGACTAAAGAGATGATTGTTGACTTCTGATGGACCTGACTAACTAGGATCCATCTACTCATTGATGGTGCAACAATAGAAACAGTGAGCAACTTCAAGTTCCTGGGAGTCCATATGAGAGACCCTGAACACCTACATCTACTTCCTAACAAGACTAAAAAGGGCTGAAATATGCATATTTCTGTTTCGTATCTGACAGGAATGCACTGCACTGCTTGGTGAAGTCTGCCCAGTCCATCACTTTGTCCCATTTTCCTCCCATTGAGGACATCTACACCAAACAGTGTATAAGGAAGATCTGCAGCATCAGGAGGAAATCTTTCTTACCCTTCCCATGGACTGCTCACACTCGGGAATAAACGGCTACAGATAATCCGGGCCAAGTCTATTTCAGACTACCTACTCCACTCAGGACTAGTTTACATCTTCAAGAATACTTGCTGTGCATCGAGTTAAGTGTAGTACCATGACTCCATTGTGATTTCTTTGCTAATATTACAGCTGTCTCATGAGAGACTCATAGAGAATGGCTTGAAGAGACCTTGCCAACTTCTCCAACTGTGTATCTGAAAACCTAAAGGTTTTAAAGTACAGTGGGGTCAGATCAGAAGAAGTATATAGAAAGTACTGAAAGCCACTTTTTTTTTTCCAAAACTCTGCTGACTGTTGCATTTTTTGACTGACTGGTCACAAATTTCCAGAGCTGTGTAGCTGTAAGAAAGTGGGAGTAATGACAGGAAATTTGTCACATTTAAGGTTTAGAGAAATTATATACTAGTATTAGTCAGCAACTAGAAGAGCATCTTTTAACAACTGGCATTTATGTACATGTCATTTTTGAAAATTAGTCTTTTAACAGTTAATTAAGTGGTCTATTCATTTTTACAGAATCTGGATTATGACCACTGTGAAGTCATTTTCAGCAAATGCGTTTACTTACCCTTAGTCCACTTTCATGAGTAGTGAAAGCATTTCTAAGGCAAATATCTGTGTGTGGGCTTTATATTAGTCTCTCCAGGCATGGATCCATGTTTATGAACATTAGTGCTGTCTCCTAGCTCTTTGGACTGTCCATATTTCCCCACTACGGTTTACAGCGCAGCTGTTTGCTATGTAGCTGACGTATAAAATATGCTTCAAGATCCTGGTCATATACTTGGATACGAACTGAAAGCTTTAGTAAAAAGCCTTTTTTGTAAACTGTGTTGCATTTACAATTTACATTGCAGCCTTGAAGCAGTTCCTGACATAGTGAGTCATAGATGACACAGTGCGTGCCAATCCCAGCCACATCATCTGAATCTGGATTTGTAGACTCACTAAAAATAACTTTACTTGCACTACTTCTCTGACTATCAGCTTTGTAAAAGTTAGTAGTTGTTAAATTTATTTCTGACTTTGGTCTTTTATAAGTAAAGAGTCTGAATTGTGATGCAGTACCATGCTGGTGGCGCTGATTACTGATTTTATGATGATGATCGTCCCACACTACTGTCATAGTAGCAAGTTTCAACTGTGTCCATTGCAGCACTTAGTTGATTGCCTCATATTGCTCTGCACCAATGTCAAAACTAATTTCTATCAATGCCTTCTATAGCCTGTAACTTTTGTGCTTTTGAGCTCTTGCATACCACGTTTTAGTGGACAGTATTGTCAATATGGATGAAGGTGAGAAATTTAATTTTGTGTAAAGTCAATACATGAAATGAGCAGTGCGTATTGAATTATTCTAACCAGAAGTCTACAGCTGTATTACTTCCAGTGTCGTAGTCGAGACCAGCTCATCCGAGTCCCGAGTCCGTGACAAGACCAAGACCGTGAACATATGGACCGTCTGGTCTTGAATACTACAACACTGTTACTCACACTGTCATAGCGTTGACCATGGTAGCCAAACAAATCAATTCTGGTTCCTGAGTGCTGTCTCCACATGTGTTGTTAGCAAGCAGTAGTATAACTGTAAAAAAAAAAAAAAAAACCTCTCAACAGTATTTTCTAACTCAATAAGTTGGTCAACACTCTTTCTTTGGCCATTAATTTATTAATTAATTTATTGCAGAGCTGTTCATGACAAATAACTGCGATGTTCCATATTGGGCAAAACGCTCAGAAAACAGGGGATCGAGGTGGCTAATTAGCTCAAGACGCCCTAAAAGGACAAAGTAAAGTCCCAACTATTTTTTTTTTAAATTCTGAATCAAGCTAAAACTAGAATAACACCTCAATTTCCCAAATGGGGCTTAATTCGAAAACACGTTCTGATTTATGGGATGGTTTATTGAATGTGAAGTCATCCAATTTTGGCCCAAAAAAGGAGAAAAAGGTTTCTTTTAGGGCTTCTCTGTTGCACTAGCATTAATTAAGCTAGCATAGCTTTCCTCTGAAGTTGGAACTTTGCTAAATGCTAGCTGATATTTTACTATTTTATATATATTTATATTTAGGTGAAGATGACACACTTGTGGGTTGAGACTCCTCAGGAGTATCTATTTTCAGTGCTTTCTGTGCTGTACGTTGTTTTGTAGTAAGTAATTTGCTTGCAGTAGGCATTTTTCCCTCTATATTGTAAGTGTACTTGTTTAAAGTACCATTAGCTCTGTATTATATATTATATAAGTACCATAATTTATACTGGGAATTAAGAACTGGGAATTTTCCTCAGTCAGAAAACATCCATTGTCACCAAACAGGCTACTTTCTGCTGTCTTCCCTACACTTTGCTAACAGTAGCAGTTACGTAGAGAGTGAACTTAAAACCTCACACACAGAAACTCTTAACTTTAATATGTTTTTACATATTAAAGGGTTTTAAAAGACATATCTGGCTGCTAACCTACCAATATGTCGACTGGCTGATAAAAGGCTAGCTAATATATACTGGAAGAAAAATAGTTAATGTTTATTTTGCTAGCCAGCTAGTTAATAAACTTTTATGTGCACAAAGAGCACATAATGTTTATTATGAATGCTTGCTAGAATACCTGAAAAAAAGGTTATTTTAAAATGTAAAATTCTTACTGCTAAGAAGAAATCGTTTTTTTTTTTTTTATTTGCTAGCTCATAAGCTACCAGAGAACATATAGCTAGTAAGCTAAGTCTGTTTTGTTTGTGTGGTGCGGGTGTATAATCAAACACTGGTACACATGCACTTGGTTTCAGTATTTTAATGTAAATGATCTGGTCATCCTGATGGTCAGCGTCATGCACGCACACGCGCACACACACACACACACACACACACACAACATTTATACATTACACATCTTCAATGTGTTAATTAATTAAAGTGCAAACACTAACTAATGAAATCAACATTCTGGCTTTGCGAACAGACAGTCGTCAGCTTCAGGCAGTCGATAATCATTAAAACTTTTCCTCAATCCCAGACGGACATCTTTATTTACACTCCACCGACCCGATAACCTCTGACCTCTGACCTGTGCAAGTGATGCTGGTGCTGCTCTCCTAATGGAAGACTTCTCACAAAATTCGCCCCCATTGGCTAAGGACTGCTGAGTGACTCTTTCATCTGACCAATAAGATGATGCGCCATGACCTCAGTGGCAAATCAGATTCAATCTTTGTGTGTGTGTGTGTGTGTGTGTGTGTGTGTGTGTGTGTGTGTGTGTGTGTGTGTGTGTGTGAGATTGGGTGGGTGGTTGTGTCTAAAGGGCAGTCTGTGCTTTTGGCAGGAAAACACACTTCAGATAGAGTGTTTACAATCAAAAAGAAAGAGAGAGATTAGATAGACACTATGAGGTCTATGTGTCCGATCCCTGACATGTCTGGTCTCTCAGTGTGAAAGATTAGACAGACAGAATACA